AGTCAGGCAGAGAAAGACAAATATCACATGACCTCACTTTTATGTGGAATCTAATGAACAAAATAAACTGACAAACAAAACAGACCCAGAGACATTAAAGCATACAACGACGACTGACATATAGCAGAGGGAAAGCGGGGGGGGGGAGGTAGAGATTAGCCAAAGAACTTATATGCATATACGCATAACCCATGGGCACAGACAATAGTGTGGGGAAGGCCTGGGGGAAGGGGTGCAAGGTGGAGGGGATCAATCGGGGGGGAGAGGGGGACATTTTTAATACTTTCAACAATAAAGACAAATTTTTTAAAAAGATATTAGGTAGTTTTAAAAGCTATAAGAGAATTTTGTAAAGAAACATATTACGGTGACTGAGTTGCAGCTTAAGACTCTGTTGACAGAGATAGGTGAAGCAATATTGAAACAGATCTGAAAATGAATCAGCCATGAAAAATCAGGTAGAGGAAACAGAAACTTCAAAGGAAAAATGACTTCTGGCCTTGAATGCAGGCAGGCTGGGCGGATCAGTATTCCTCTCTATGTAGGAATGCAGGAAGAGTGGCAGGCTGCTACAGCAGGGTAGGGAGGGACTGCACTTCTCAAGCATGAAATAAGTTTTTACCTGCATTTGAATGACTCTGGCCTTGATTATCCTGGAAACTAATTTGAAGGACAAAAGTAAATCCTGGGCAGGTGTAAACACATCATCGAAGGAGATGGGATTGGAGGAATACATTAGGCGGGAGTAAATTCATATAAAATTTGAATTGACCTAAATAGAGGCTGAAGGCTAGCTGGGAGTTTAATAAAGAGGAAATGCTAATTCAAAGTTTGTTATTGCAGTAGCAATGAGAATATAGTTCAAAATACTTTTTTTTCTCATTAGATGGGATGACTCAGCATTCCTGTCTAGAGGCATGTATTATCTTCCTATGGCTTAAACCTATGAAGTAAGGTTGTTACTGGTGCTTTTTTGTGGTCCTTTTGTCAGCTCTAAGATTGATTCATTACAGCTGATACTCTGGAGAAGACAGATTTCATGCTTTCATTTAACAAATATTTATTGGGCAATGTGATAGGCATTGGTGATACGATGATAGGAGATTGTCTCTTGTCCTCAAGAGGGAGGTAAATAGAAGTAAATGGTCAATGAAAATACGGAGAGTTGTGTTACCCCAGTGGTAAGAACGAGGTAATGTTGCTAGTGTAGGTTAGATATTAATAAAGGAAGGGAACAAAGGTAATCAGATTATTAAGCATAATAAACTTGGGAGGGGAATTGGATAATACGCTTGGTTCACTAGGAAATTACAGCTTCACACACTCCCCAGGACATCCTCCCCATTTAGGACCTAATTCCCCAAAGTGGGCAGGAAAGATCATTACTGGGGGAGGAATAAAAACAGCAGGGGGAATGCCTCTGCTGGGCCCATGCCCAGTAGAAGCCAAGATGGCACAGGGGGAGGTGCTTTCGCTTTGAGGCATGCACAGTAGGAATTCAGATGGCAACATAGAGGCCTGCCAGTCTAGCCTGGGAAAAGGATCGGATAGGATATGGGACACAGAACCCCAGAAGATCTAGGTTGGTTAGGGGTGGACCCATCAGAGGCTGGGAAAGGTTGGGAAGTTGATTGGTTAGTTTGAAAGGGCACCTGGTCCTTCCAAGCCCAAGATAACATAACCCAAGCTTAACAAAGTGTTTTCTCTCTCTCTCTCTCTCTGTCAGTAACACTGTGCTCGCCCTGTTCCCTCAGGCATTTTTTTCTCCATAGCAGTCATGTCACCCTAGCAGCTACCTGGGGCCCACGGCAGACCACCACACAGCCAGCCAGGCTGCAGCCAGGAACACATACTAAGCTAGCCAGTTGAGGACAGAGAAATGGACTGAATTCATGGCGCAAAATGTCTGGACACTGGCCCTATTTCTGGGCCTGATGAAGACAAAGCTGAACTTTTTCCATGGTGAGACAGATGGAGATGGGACACTGGGAACCCAGGGGAAGTCCTTTTATTTTGCTTCTACAATGAATCTTACCATAAAACCTCAACTTCCCGTGCATGAGTCCCCCAAAATACTTTTCTAATGACCCCATGAAAGGACTCCATTTCCACTGGCAACTTTGTGGAAGGAGTTTAACCCTGTCAGAGGGGGACTGGAGGAGTTAAGGACTGTTTCCCAGAGAAGTTCTGTTCTAAGAACTGAAGGATGACCATGAATCATCCACGTGACTATAGGACTTGGAAGTGGAGGGGCAAGGGGCTCTCCAGGAAATGAAATGCACCTCACAGCCTAGGAATGAGGGATCCTGTGATATAGTGAGAGAGGGTGGCTTAGTGGGCATGATCTGTGCATTTGTACAAAACCCTGTGCTTAGAAGTTCCCTGTACTTCATGTAATACTTTGCTGTTGCTATCTTGAAAATCTTATTAATTTTTGAATATGGAGTCTCAGTTGAACAGGGGATACACAATTATAATCATTCTTTTATTTTTCTGAATCTTACTAATTCACAATTAGCTACTGGATGCAGTTCTGGAAGTAGATCTAAACCAACGCTAGACCTGGAAGGGGAGAGCTCACTGCTGAGATCCTGAGCATAGCTATTGCACTAGGGCATCTGGGAGGGTCATCATAACCAGGCTGGTAGGCTTTGCTAGAGCTGTGGGGTGAGTGGGTGGGAAGGACACAGGGAAAGTCCAGCTGTTGTGTATTATTTCTGTTGCCAACAGAGAATTTCATGCTTTGATTCCCCTTTCAGTAAAAGTCCAGGTGTCCTACACTGACCCCTTTCCTATGTCTCTTCACACTCACCTGTACATTCATAGCCATTAGCACTGGCTGAGTAGGTGCCAAACCACTTAAAGGCACTAAAGTGCTCACAGACCTTCTGCTTCAACAGCACTATGTCCAAATGCCCTTCTTTTCCAAAGAGCAATCGGAGTGACTCAGACCCACCCAGTAACTAGGGGCCTCTGCTTATTTACTCTTTCCTTGCTTCTGTACTGCTTCCAATTTAAACCAAAGACCTTTTTTGTCAAACCTGCTAATTATACCAAGTTCATTTTGGCAGGTCAAACAGTCTGTTCTATTTTTAAAGACTGTTAAAATTGACCCCAGGTCTTGGTTTATATGGCTTTGGTTTTGGTTTACTTCCAAACCTGGAAATAATTCCCAACAAGGCTACAATGGAAGGATGCCCCTGGTGGATGCTGGTCTTCATGCCTTCCGGTCCCTCAAGGAACTCAACCATGGTGGTAAAACTCTGTGCAAAGTGGGAAAACCACCAGTTGGAAAAACAAGGTAACCATATGCTTGTAAACTTGGACTCATAAGTCCACCTACTCCATGAATGAAAATTCTTTCGGCACCATAGTAGGCCCATGGTTACATGCTCTGTGTTTCATTTTGTTTGCATCTTTAGGGTCTCTGGCAGGCCTGGCCATGGCCCACTGTGTGAACCTGCTCTTCCCAATCTACTTTCTCTCTTTAATTGATTTCATTTATTACTATGGTTGTGACTCTCAGACTCTGACTCAGTGATAATTAAAAATTTTTTAAATTTTAGTTTCCTTTATTTGAAATATATATGATTATATTGAACTGAAATAAGGGAAACTATGGTTTGACAGATGGTAACTGATTTTTTTGCTAGTATCCTCTGTGTTGGTGTATTGGGGTAAACATGACCATATTTATATTGTATATAGTAGTATATAATTGGAAACTTTGGGTGAATGCAATAACATCAATCTACACTTAAAACATCCAAGACCAAATTCATTTTTACTCTAATGTAGTTTATTTGCTCTCTTACACTGGTATTTGACTATTCACGTAGACAATTTTAACTCTTTCATGAAATTTGAAGTATTTTCTAGACAGTTTTTGTATCAAATAATAAACAACCTGGTATCAATATAAAAAAAGGGTTTTATTCATCACTTTTTCTGATAAACAAAACAATGAGTAAATAAACTTATTAAACTTTAGCTTGATTTACAAATTTTCAAATATCACTGGGTGTTTATACTTAAATTATCCATTCTAGAACTCCTAAAATGATTTTTATGAATTCATGATCACATAGATTGGTTTTCAAATTCAGAAATATCTTTCACTCTTGTTGTGGATGTGTTTTAGAACCCTGTACTGGGTCTGCTTGAATGTTTTTTCTTGTTTAAGATACAAATGGTGGCACTTAAAATAATACTAACAATGACCACAGATCCAACTACTATCAACACCAAAGAAGAAATGCTAATTCCAGAATTAGGATTTGGATGACTTTCATCAGGATCTTGAGGAACAAACAAAGCTACTTGTGCAATGTTGGATACTTTTGATGTCAAACTGCTGTTATCCACACTTTGAATGGCAATGAATATGTGGGTTGCGTTTCCTTCTGAGATATTTCCTGGTTTAAATGCAAAGGTTTCCCTGGAGTTGGCCTCATTTGGTAACAGATGAGTAGTGTTTACTTGCAGAGCATCATCAAACTTGTCTCTTAGATCCAGTATATTTTCACTTATTCTTATGATATACTGTTTAACTAAGAAAAAAAAAAAGTTAAATGTAGTTTAGAAACTAGAGCATGACATGTTAAATTTCTTTTTATTCATTCTCCTCACAATATTTAGTTGTACCAAGCTTATACTCATATCCAAGGCCTTACTAATATTTCAATATAAGCTGAATTTTTATTTTTAAACTTTGCTGTTGCTACTACCATTTTTGATTGAAAGTAGGACCAGTTAAAATGTGTTATATTTGATTGATTAAAAAATATCAGATTATAAAATTAATACTTTACTGAGTTATCAATTAAAAGTTGTTCTCCTCCCACCCACCCTTTTACCCTTGATTTTACATGAGCATCTTTCACCTCATCAAAGCCGCATGACCCTTCATCCTCACCTTTTCCAACATCAAAATTGTCTCCTGGTGCTGTCCATGTTAGATGGATCAGATCCCCGTCTGGTGTGGCCTCAAGATCTGTGATTTGACTTGGTGGGTACAGGTCAAGCAAGGGTAAGTTTGAAACATTTGAAACCACAAATGCACCTCCAGATGCTGTCCTGGTGAAACTCTCCAAGGATGTCCCAATATCTTCATTAATTTCAGGTCTTGGTGGGTTCCCTTCAATTTTCCCTGCATTAAAATTTTTCTTGTTTACAACGAGCGCAACACTACTAGTATTTTCAATTGGATCCCCATCCTACTTGTCCTCTCCTTATATAAAAGAGCAGGGCAAAAGTAGGGTTACAGTTGTGAGTATATGAAACAGAGTTTATTCTTGTATTATTTATTAATTATCGTATTATTTTTCCACATGAACAACTGTAAACCTACTTTTGCCCAACACACACACACACACACACACACACACAGTGACATTTTACTAAGTTTGAGTCATAAACATCCAATTGGTGGGAAAACTTGTTTTCTTTAGCATTCTGACCAGGATATTGTAGGATATAATTGGATAATGAACTGTTAAGGCATTAAGGCTGCCCTGAATGGGAATAATGTTACATAATTCAACATATGGAATTTCTTTGTTTCTCAAATTATCTTCAAGCTGGGAATAAACCTGGGGACATTGCTTCTGGTTTCCTTCTAACCACTGTGCCAGGTTCTTCCCTTCCTCCCTTTTGCAAGTGCTAAGGAATAATAAATACTTCAGTTTATATTCCAATTGTCAACAGAAAACCCCTGAAAGAGGTAAGAGACAAGACAAAGGGAAATTAATAAGGAATGAATTCTTAATCTTTATCATCATTTTGCTCAATATATTTTTTTGACTTAATAAAAATATTCAAAATAAATGTTTACTCATTTATGTATCTTTTACAATATATGTAATCTGAAGGTTAAATTCTGCTTATGCTTAGGTACATAACATATCAGCCTGTTTCCTTCAACCTTCGTTGAAAATCTGGCATATTATTGTTGCCATAGGTAAGGTTCTCCAAAGTCATTTCATGGCTGATGTTAAATGCTTACTGGATGGCAGGCATTGTACCAAAGCACAGGCTAATTTGAAGGCAAACCCAAGTATGACTGAGAACTTCATTCTGGAAATGGGGACAAGCTATACTTTGAGTTGTAAAATGTTTGAAGCCTTAATCCTATCAACTAACAGTTATTCCAGCCAGCACGGGTCTCAGATATCACAGGCTACTCACCGCCCACCACCCAGCCTGGAATGTATGCAGCTCTATTCGGTGGGTGCCTCAAGTTTCTTGTGGCAACGTTCGCTCCTCCATGAGCCCGCACTTTTAAGCTGTATCTGCCATTTTCTGAATAAGCTGTAAAATATCTGGAGTAGACACCATCATCCTTGAAAGTATCAGCACCTTGTTATAGAAATTAAGGAATAAATTATTATTGCAAAGAAAAAGGAATATATGCATTTTCTAAATCAAGCATATGGCCCTTAGAAGAGTATCCCTTAGATTGGGCTCCCTATTTTGTGATTGACCCCTTGGGTAGTATTTCTGTTATGCTCTATCGACCAGTATCTTGTTAAACTGATATCCTTGAGTTATGGTCTATATATTTATATATACAATACATGTATAATATTATGTAATTTTATTCTATATTTATTATTACACACATATACACACACTGATACCTATGTGTATAATAAATACCTTCACCTTATCAACTTACATGCAGATTATTATAATACTCTTCTTACCATTTTTTTTTTTATAATATATTTTTTAAAAATATGTCTTTATTGATTTCAGAGAGAGGACAGGAGAGGGAGAGAGAGATAGGAACATCAATGATGAGAGAGTCACTGATTAAGCCTGCAACCCAGGTATGTGCCCTGACCGGGAATCGAACCCCGATCGCCTGGATCCTAGGTCGATGCTCAACCGCTGAGCTACGCCCGGCCGGGCTCTTCTTACCATTTCTCAGCCAAATGGTTTGTTTGAAGCTCTTACTTTATCTAAACACATAATTAAGACATCTCTCTGTTCAAATCAAAAGTATCTCCACTAAAGAAAAAGTACATTAGCATAGAATTTAATTGTCACCATAGTCACCTACAAGTTATTTCAATGTAACCTTCAACCACTTTTTTTTTAATTTTCACCTCTTGCTCTATGATCCATTAACTTCCTGGTCTGATAGTGGAAACACCCATCTGTTATTAGGATAAACAACTGGGGGAGCTCAGGAATACCGTATCATAAGTATATTTCTTGATAACATGGGTTCTGAAGCTAAACTGCACACGCATCTCCCAGGGTGTTTAACATTCTAAGACAGAGGTTCTTAAAATGAGGTCCTTGGACCAGCAGCATCTGCATCTCTCTGGGTTATATTAGGAGTGCAAATTTCTTAGTCTTTTAAAGAAAGGCTCAGCATTCTGTGTCACAACAAGCCTTCCAGGCGATTCCTTCGCTGGCTAGAGTTTAAGAACTCTTTCTCCAAGTCATTGATAATCAGCAATTTATTCTTAGGAAAAGGCATTCCAAATTAGCTAAGTAGCCACCTGGTAAAACCTTGAGAAATGACAAGATGCAGGTAAGTTTTAATGTAGCATGGAAGGGGTTGGGGGAACGGAAGTTAGACGATAGCTGAGGAAAATACTGTCGTATCAGGTGAAGTCGCTGAAGTGCACTGAAGAATAATTTTACCTACTAAATTTTTCCCAGGGCTAACCCTTGTTGATGATAGGATTATTAATGGACTGAATTAATTACATTGCATAAGATACTGATAGAAATCTGGGGTGAGTCAGATGTCCATCGGATTGTTTTTTTCCCTTGCTCACTGACCTCTCAAAAGAAGATTCCGTTCTCAGAATAACCCAAAAGACCTGTGGAAAAGGTCCTTAAGCACCACTCACCCATGCAGGCCAGGGAGTCAGCACGGCCAACACTGTGTCTTATTTCCTGCCAGTCAGGCCTGGTACCTGATGCCTTTGTGATGCCCCCTCCTCTCTTGTGGCAGTTCTGCTTGCCCTTGGGCCTCAGTTCCCAGGACTATATTTGCAGTTTGGGAATTACTCTTGCCTGTCGCCCCTTCCCTGCTGGGAGCCCCGGTTCTACCACTCAACCCCTTATGGCTGCTGTGCTCCACTCTCTCTGGCCAGACTTTCTTGATGATGTGCCCCTAAGAAACCCTTGTTTGGAATTCCTGATGCTGTCCTCAGTCTCCTGAATGAGACCTTTTGATCTGGTGACAGACATCGGTTGTCTAAATGACAAACAGTAATGACAGCAAATAACATTTATTGAGTATTACTATGTGTGCAAAACTCTTAAAATCACTTTGTAGGCTTTACCTGGATAGAATTTTCTGCTGGCCCTGCTCTTCATTCATAATCTGCATGGATTCTCTTGGTGTCTCTCACTCCCCCACACTGCCACGGGACCCATTACATATCCTGACTTTTGAAATTATAGGCTTATTCTTTTTTTTAAAAAAAAACACCCTGTAAATTACCTGCACCATTATCCAAAAGTTCCAAAACTTCTGTTTTTCCACTATTTGATTCAATGAACGCAGTCACGTTGGCTCCAAGAATGGGTATAAACCCTTGTAGAATTTCTGCGTAAACAATCATTGGGCTGGGGAAGCTGTTGGTTTCTTTGTTCATTTTAGCATTCACTGTGATTGGAGGCACAGAAGAATTTGCTGCCCGAGAATTAACTGTTACAGTTAAGATTTCTGCGTCTGCTTTGGCTTGAAGACTGTAAGTCCAATCACCCACCTAAGAATTCAAAGGTAACAGAGTAAGTATCCAAGATAAAGCTATTTTCTATGTTTCCATTATCCAGCTCTAAAACAAATCTTAGAAATGTGTTGCAGAATCAACATGGTTTTGAAATTTTTGAGGGTTTTTTTTTTAAGGATGAGAGTCGAGGCAATTTGGACAGAGCATCCTGGCTATTGTCATGCACAGGGTCCAAACTTTGTGAAATCTCAATGGGGAAAAATAAGTTTTGGAAAGTTTACCTCGGTCTTGTCTTTACTCTGACCTCAGAGTTCATAGATTTTTTTTTTTTTTATTCTTTACTCTATGATCTGGAAATACTAATAAGGAATGACTATCTACACACCAAGTTGCACAGACTCCCTACATTGCCTCCTCAAATTTATTCTTAGCCTAATTTTTTCCCTTCTCTTCCTTCCTCCTAATGCCTAAGTTCTTTTCTCTTTTTCTTGCCACCATAATTTTCAGGACCATCTAGGCATAGAATGTACTTTGTATTTTATCTTAATTTTGAAGATGATACAAGTATTGGTACTCATATTTATGGTATTAAACAATGTTGCACAGCTTTGTGTGGAAATCAGAAAGCTGATTGCTTACCTTTGCAGTTCCTGGAATGCTGACATAGGCCATTTTGGAAACAGAGTCCTGTACCAAATTTTGTACTGATGCTCCACTGGGATCCCAGAGAAAAATCACGGGGTTCTGTTTTTCCCACGTGATGAGGAAGAATGTGTCCTTTCCCACAGTGCTATCGATTGTTACAGTTCCATTCATCCAGAGACTATTACTGAGCTGTGATCCCTTACTTTCAAGCTGTATAAATATATTTTTTAAAATTAGTAACTGGAGAAAAGAATAATTTTATTCTTTATTCTTTTTTATTTTATTTTAACATAGTCCTTAGTTTTTGGCCTGAGAACAAGCTTACATAGGGCATACCCCCTTAGGCTTGTGATCTCTCTGAAAGCTGATTGGGATGTGAGAGTCGTTAGTCAGAAAGTGTGGAAATGTAGAGTCTGAGGAAAGGACAGAGTATAATAAAAACATTAGAGCAAGAGAATGGGTTTTTATGGTTGGAGACATGGCTGTGTTATTTATTCCAAGTTGTTTTTGTAAACATCCAACTGAGACTTTAGCATTAAAGGGTGCTATGTCAAAGAGGAATTAGCTGTACAGTGTGTGTGTGTATGTTGTGTGTGTGTGTGTCTGTGTGTGTGTGAGTTACCCTCAGTTTACCCATCTTCATGATGACTTAAAAGAAAATACTTATTGGTGGTGGCTACAGTATTTGAGTGGAGACACAGTAAGGTCAGGACTAGCAAGTAATGAGAAAATCATTCATGGATATTTTTCTGATGTGAAATCTTCAAGTAATTTTTCAAACATCCTAGAGTTAGTAGCCCTGGACAATAAACACGTCCAACAAGAGTGTAAATAGGGCAAAAGGATGTTGATGAAGGTGGGAATCTTGAGAAGTGAAGGTCTTTCTTTGAGAGGAGCCTCAAGGGAAGTTTTTCAAGTCTTTGCAGATGGCTCTTAGTCGAGTACAGTGCACTTTACTGACGGAGAGAGTGCTTTCTACAGATGTGTCATTTCAGGAAACGATGGGAAATTCCACTTCTACTCTAACCCAGCCCGAAACCAAAAATACCTCCAGGTCAGCACTGAGAGAAGAGAGTGAATTCTACCATCGAAACACCATTGCAATGACAAAAATCTCAATCCTATGTTAAGTGGACATGTCTTTGAGTGGACAAAGTATTATTATCAAGTTAATCTGAATGTGAGTGACTTTTTTAGACTCCCCATCAGGAATGTGTAAGAACGTTAGAAAGCTCTGGCTCCACAGTAGCACCAGGGTACAATGAATGGGAAGCAACCTTTCCCCTGCATTGTGGCTGCCGTTTTAAGTGAGCAGAACAAAACCTTTCTGCCCCTTCAGGTGGGGAGAGATAAACCAAAGAATTTATATGCATAAGTGCATAACCCACAGACACAGACAATAGCTTGGGGAAGGCCTGGGGGTGGTGGATTCGGGGTGGAGGGGAGTAATGGGGAGAAAGAGGGCCATCTGTAATGCTTAAAACAATAAAGATAAATTAAAATAAATAAATGAATAAATAAATACATATAAAAACTTTGAGCATTTCCTGTAGGCAAATATCTCTTTTCTGGCTGATTTTCCACATCCTGCTCTTATATTTAGAATTGTTTTGGACTATTCCATTTTAATGTCCCACCATCCACGAAACATTACTAAGGTTTAAACAGAACATAAAATCATATCTTCAAAATCAGCTCCCCCTCTTTACTTGTCAATTTCAGATGGCAGTAGCATCATTTTCTAGGTCAACCCGATTGACACCCTCAGAAGTTCTATGCTCCTTCCGTTTACTCTCCACACACTGCCAAGCTGACCCTGGGCCAATCCTGAATCCGTCTGCAAGGTGAAGTTACAAGCCAGATCTGTGCGTCAGTGTGCACATACAGTCCTAATCCTGCGTCCTGTAACCTGTGTGCTCTTCACTGCTGGAGAGCAGAGCACAACAGGCTTGTCGGGGGGACCACGCTGGGTTTCCACGTAGGCAGAGGCCTAACGAGCTGGAAGACGGCAGGTAAGTCTTCACACAAGGTGACACGCGATAGGCTTGGTGGCAATGCCCAAGGATCAAAACAGAGTTTTGTAAACAGTGCTTTCAGGGAAATAGTTTATGTTAACATTTTACATTGGACATGAATGAAGAACCAAGTTTAGTCAAAGTTGTTGAATCTAAGTAACAGAAAATGAGAGTGTTATTTAGGCACGAATGAAAAAAAGAGTTGAATTCAGCAGAGAGGTGAGTAACATAGAAAGCCAGCAAAAAGAGCGGTTGCAGACATAAAGGAAAGCCCGAAGCCTTCGATCTGTAATGATTATTCATTTTCTTTGTAAATTTCTTCCCAAGACACTTAACTTCCCTTTATAAGCCAGGTTCTTGGGTTCATTCACCTAATCTAAATTTATTGCACAGCAGTGCAGGTGAGAGGAATCTTGGAAGCGGGAGATACTTTTTATGCAGTTATAGACAAATAGATGCTGCATGATGGGACAGAGTCTATTTTTTATGGAAAATTTAGCATTTTGCTCTTACCTCTTAACCAAACTCTAGGTGAAATGAAAAAGAATATGTCTGCTATTTCACGACTCACTTCACTGCTTGACTGCTTAAGTTGGCCATAGGTAAAGAATAATTCCTATTTCATACTTAAGTTTGGATTTTAGTTAACAGTTCACTTTGAGAAAAATATAGAACTAAAAACTTATAACAACAAATTATTTTTCTTGGTTATGGCTAAAGGCAAACACAAAAACCCGAGGAAGGGGAGCTCAGACCTGAAGAGACTGCTGGGAGATATCGGCGTTTCCTGATGCAAGGGCCCCAAACGCGTCAATGAGGCCGTTGTTCTGGGCTTTATCCGAGGCAAAAAAATGTTTTCCTCCTAAAATGTAATTACATTTACTAGATTACTTTCTAGAAAAGAAGTATTTATGACAATTTAGTGGTTTTAAGATTAAACCAGGGTAAACAAAATAATAGTTTCAGTATATATTATTAAAATAGACCCAGACCAGATAGGTGTAAACATTAACTCTGAAATGTTAACTTAAAAATGTGATAACCGGAAAGTGTAAGCTCCCTTTATGCTTCACTTGTAGAAAGCTCAGCTGGTTGAAATGCATCAAATAATCATAGAATAAAATTTTTAAAAAGATGTTAAAATTCCATGTATTAAAGCTCACAGACTTCACACAGCCCTTTAGGGGAATTATTTGTTTTTATTTATGATACAGTTCTTAACAATGTTTTCCCAGCCACAGTGGATCAGAATCAGAAAGTGCTGCTATATTGAGGTATCCTGACAATAGCTGGCAATGAGGAGATCGAAAAATAGTAAGCAATGGAGACAAGTCCAAAATAGCACTACTTTTGGGGGCCACTTGGGACAGAAATAAATTTTACAATGGCCACGAAAGCACTTAGAAAGGATGTGAGTTTGTGCAACTACGCATTTGAAAGGCAACAATATATTTGGTAACATCAGAAGCCGGCTCAATATATATAATAATTGATATTCATAAAGTTTTGAATTTTGTACTCTCTACTATATTTAAGAAGGCACTTAAAACATGTAGTCCATTTTCATCACACGTCTCTGTATCTAAGATAACAGCTACTGGCATAAATGTTTATCTAGATAGACACTTTCTTGTTATTTGCTTCTATTCAGCCTGAGCCTCTGTGAATCCACCCCCCCCACACACACAGCCTGAGCAAGCTCTGTCTCCTGGATTTCTTCCTCTCCCTCCGTGGGCCCTGCATCATCATCCCAGCATGATTTTTTTCCTCATAGCCCGATCATCTTTCCTACCCCTTGTCCTCTAGAGAAATTCAACTTTGTTCAAGGCCCAGCTCAGAAGTTGCCTTGTCTCTCATGCCTTCTTTCCCTGGCTCGCGACAACCCCGGGAGAATGAACGGCTTCCTCTGCCTGCGTCGTGCTTGACCCCTGTTAGGGAGGGATGTTATCCGACTGTGCTCTCTGATGACGACTTTTACTTGTTTCTCCGGCCAGCTGGACTCTGAGCAGCTTGAAAACAGAGCTCAGGTCTGGTTTACCTCTGGGCACAGGGCCCTCAGAGCTCAAAGAAGTCGAGCTGTCAGTCTCTGGACCTACTCATTGCTGTTAAAGGACTGGAATATACAGGTCATATTTTACCTGTTATATTGCTCATCTGTATGACTGCTTGATCAGCCGATGGTCCCAAAGCAATAAAATGAACGATGGCCCCACTTTCTTTCACTTTATCAACACATACTTTTGCAGTACCATCCTCCCCATCGGTCAGCAGCACTATTTCAGATCCACTTATCTGGGCATTTACATCTCTCATTACCTGTAAACATCATCAGAGCACGATTACCAAAGGTTCCTAGGTCAAGTAGGTTTATAGGAGATTAGAAAAAGTGGACAGAGAAAATAAACAAAAGTGTGCGTCGAAGAAGAGAGAGCTTCTGTTTTAAGGTTATAGACTCTGCAATCAGCAACCCCTAAGGGAACTTAAACATGTCTGTACTTTCTGTCCATCTGCTCTAAGGAATATTTGCTTAAATGGAGTTATGTGGGGCAGGACTTTGGAACATCCTACTTGGGTTAAGTAACAGTGACATCTCAGTCTGGGGAAGTCAGGTTAATCAGACACCAAAAATGTAATTGCAGAGTGTGGCATTAAATATTTCTCTTCTTTTTTTGACTGACAAGCCTTCAGTGTATAAAATGTGTTGCATAGACAGCTAAATGCATTTAGAAACCACTTCAACATTAAAAAAAGAATTATTTCAAATTAGAGAACCCTCAGTATGCTTATAGAGAAAGGTTATAGAAAGTTCTAAGCAGGTCAAAGTGAGTGATCTTGCTATATAACTTTTATTTTACATCTAAAAGTAACAAGGCCCGGACGGCATGGCTCAGTGGTTGAGCATTGACTTATGATCCAGGAGATCTCGGTTCTATTCCCCGTCAGGGCACATGCCCGGGTTGCGGGCTTGATCCCCAGTGGGTGGTGTGCAGGAGGCAGCCGATCAATGACTCTCTCATCATTGATGTTTCTATCTCTCTCTCTCCCTCTCTCTGAAATCAATAAAAATATATAAAAATAAATAAATAAAAGTAACGAGCACAAAACCAAGTATATTGGTGGTGCTCAGAGAATCCATGAACTATGTTTATTGAGGTGGAATTCTATTTGTGGCTGGAACCCTTTTCCTATAAAAACAATAAGTTTACACTCAGATTTCTGAATCTAGGCCCCTGTAAAACAGGATAAAGAGAATTTGTCAGAGGATAGCAAATATATTTCACCTTCTCTGACAAGTTTATTAAGTAGTGGCTTCTTGGCATACCATTTTGAGAAACTGAGCACAAGGCAAGAGGAAAATGTGATAGATTTATCAGTGGCTTTCATGGACCTGGAGGGAAGGTATGTGTAGATTTGCAGAAAAGGGTTTGGAATGTAGAAATCCCTGATAAACTGGGGCCAGGGAACAAGAACAACCTCATTTAAATTTTTGCATGTTTTAAGGCAAATAATGACTATTATATATATTGCAGTTTATATATATGCTTTGACATGCACTAAAACCAAACTGAGAAACAGGGAATGCTTTTCTACATTTACAGCATTTATACAGCATCCCCATCGCATTCCCCCTACACATTTTGTTGCAAAATGAAGATCCAAAGATGAAGTAGGTTTCTCTTTTCTCCACTGCTCCCTTTCTTGTACTAGTTATCCGCTGAGCACTTACTATGTATTAATCACTGTCCTGGCTGCCCGAGATTCAACAGGAACTACATGGTTTCTGTATTCTTGGAAAGAATTTAATTAAATTGTAAAACGTTTATTGAGGTAGAGATGAGAGACTGAGGAGATAAGAGAGATGAGTGACAAAGACACAGTTAATATATTCTACAGTGCAAGAGAAACAACACAGAATTATAGTGCTACATTTTCTGGAACGTTTGCTAAGTGTTAAATGTATTTTATACAATGTGTCATTTGTATAAAATACAAATGCCATCCAAGTCCAAGCTCCCAATCTGTCCCTGGACCACTACCCTACCACTGCTCTTACTCCCTACAGTTTATTTTGTACAGGGCAGCCAGGGTCATCTTCCAAAAACATGATTTGATGATCAATTTCTGATACTTAAAATCCGTCAGTAGCTTTCTGTTGTGCTTAAAATAAAATAAAAACCTCTTATTTTTTTAAGCTTTGAAAGATCTAGCCATTATTTACCTGCCAACTGCCCTGCATGCTCCCTCATTTGTCACACTCTTGTGCCCCCAGCTCTATCAATTCTTAGAATAATCCTCTCCTTTCCCACCTCTTTCTTAAGGGACTTTGCATTTTCCTTTCTGCCTGAACCAGTGGCTCTTTCTCACCCTTCAAACCATAGCTTAAATGTTACCCTTTAGAGAGGGCCTCAGTGGCCTCTTCACCTAAAGCAGGCCTCCCCCTTTCCCAGTTCCCCTATCCCATCACGTTGTTTGGTTTCTTCACAACACTATCTGCACAATCTACAATGATTGTTTTTGTTCATTGATCTATCCCTGTATTATCTGTTCCCCACAGAAACTGCATACACCACAGAGAAGCTTTGCTTAGCACATAAATATTTGTTGAATAAATGAATCTATGTTTGCCCCCTACTTCCTACAATAAATATATCTTGAATAAACTCAAACATGAACAACCCTATGTGCTAGCTTTCATTACCCCATTTTACTGATGAAGTAACCGGTTACTACAGAGAGGAAGGGTTGTGCTTACTGTCACAAGCTAGTAAATGATCATTGGAGTTTTAATCTAGGACTTCATGTTTGAAAGCTACACTAAAATGCCATGCAATTCATAAACGAGAGAGATCGAATAGTGTTGGGAATAGCAGGAAATGCTCCACGAAGAAAAAAGGATTTTGAAGAATTGGTAGAAACTTAACGTGCAAACATGGAAAGAAGGAAACAGTTTAGGCAGAAGAATTGCCTGGGCAAAGGTAAGAAGGCTGTTGGTACAAGGTGGGCTTGGAGAGCGAGCGCTGGGTATTAGCACACAGAGAATCCGAGAGGAGAACTGAGAGCAAAAGGCTAGAAAGAGATGAGGGCAGTTTTATGGAGGGGGTGACAGACTTTTTGAATATCCGATTGAGGAATCCAAATATAATTTTATGGACCGTGAGGGGAGAGTGAAGATTTCTAAGCAGGAAAATGACACATTTGATATTAATTATAAGCTCAAGATGACAACTTGGGGGGGAAAAAAGGTTTATAATAATAGTTGTGAATTATATATTTACTATGTAATATAATAAATATCCTTCTAAGTATGTAAACATATCATTTCATTTAATTCTTATAATAATCCTATGAGGTAGACACTCTGATTTGCCTATATTTTATAGATAAGGCATTGAGAGTCCAAAAGTACTGAAAATGTTGCCTAAGATCAAATAGCTTGTAAATAGCAGCCAGGACTCTGGTGTCACAGGTATTCCTTACCCCGTGACTGACAGTCCCTGCTACAGCTGCTTAATAGACTGCTCAGTTAGGATTGTCACAGAAACTGAAATGAGAATTGGCCCAAAGTGGAATCATACCATCCAACTGGTTTCATCACCTTCAAAGTTAATGACTTTTGCTACCTGATCACACTTACTTATTTAACTAAAATTTATTGAGCACCGACTATTGCAAGTTAAAAACAACAACAATGACCATAAGAACAACAACACAAAGTCCCTGGCTTTGTTGGACTTATAATCCAGTGGCATTTTTATAGTCATATATTTATCCATCAGTTTATTCATTGATTCACTCACCCATTTAGAAAATCAAGTGAATTTTTTATGTTCTTAGTTCTGTATTTCTTAGAATTGGTTACGTCAAAATTAGTGAGCAAGTATGTACAGCAGCACTAATAGAAAAATGTCCTAATAATAAAAACAAACAAACAAACAAACAAACAAACAAACAAACTATAAGTGCAGTATGATTTTCACCTGAAATGCTGCATCAATTCCACTGCAGATGGACGTTCCCCCGCCTGCTGCCGTAGGCAAGCTGTTCAAGAGTGTGTTTCTTTCGTTGGTGCTTACTATTTGGATTAGCTTATTTTTAATGCTGGCAGAAGAATCAAAGTGCACCATCCCCACCCAGGATCCGTTTTCAATAGTCTGCAGCAGGAAGTGTTTTGCTGCTTGGTTCATTCGACTTAGGCGATTAAAGCTCTGAATGAAAAAAGGCAAGAAAAACAACCAATTGGTTTTGACTGGAAAATAATAGCAGACTACATAAAGTGAGTAAACAGGATTTGTTAAGAGCTTTCTATTATTAGTAATCAGTGTTATTAGAAACAGCAACATTTTAATTGATAAAATTTAAAAACCGTAGTTCCATGTCCCGTGGAACACATAGAGTGTAGTAAGGAACACAGGCTTTGAACTAGAAGTGATTCTTGGCTGCTTAGCACCCAAATTACAGGTGAAGGTTCAGGGGGTGGGTTGGAATTGAGGGGTGATGCCTCACATCTTAGAGAATTCTTAATTACGTCTGGGCTATGGAGATGAAACCACTCCCTATGTCCTACAATATCAATCCAGACCGTCATGGACTCCAGCTAGAGACTGAAACCTTCCCTTCCACTGGAGACTAGATAACCCAAAAGTTAAAACTTTCTTGAGCTGCGGCTAAATTCTGAGACACTCTGTTCCTACTTCTGCTCCTAACCTCTCCCCACCCTTTCTTCACCAGTGGATTAGTTGGCCTTGGTTCTTTGGTAACCCATTAAGACTCACATCCCTTTACCTGGGTGAGTATCCAGGATGTAAGTCTCTTCAGACATTTGTCTTTCCCAGTCCCTCAACACCAATTTATCTGTAGTACTTCCCCTCAACACATGCCCAAATTTCTTTCTGAAATCCCTAGATCCAAGGCATAGCAAGAGACTTCTGTATCCCCATCTTTGAAGCTTCTCTGCCACTTTGCTTTGCCTTTAAACTAAGCTCTTTCATCTCTTTCTAATGACACTTCCTAAAACACTTTTATGTGCTGGTGTCTGGCACTGATGCTCTTACTGAAGCCCTGTGCTATTGTGGATTATTCTCTGCCCTTTTCTGGAACCACACATCCCCCACCTGTTGAATACATTCTTTCTGATCTTCAGCATGCTCAGTTCTGTCTCAAATGTGCTGTTCTCCTGGGTGCTTTATCACATTACGTCTACTCTTTTGTAAATCCATTTATTTCAATAATTATTTATTGAGCGCTTATATGTGGTAAACACTGTTCTAGGCAAAAGGGAGACAAAGATGGATAAGACATGGTTTCAAGTACTAGAGGACATGGTTTCTAGAGGATATGGTTCCAAGAACTAGAGGAGCTCCAAGTCTAGTGGGAGAGAAATATGAAATTTCAATATAATATACAGTAATAGAGGTTTGCACAATTTATCGTGGGAGACCAGCAGAAGAGCCTTAGCCCAGCCTGGAAGACCAGCCCATTCCCTGGAGGAGGTGGGTGCCTATACCAAATTTTGAAGGAGTAGGAGTTAACTAGGTAATGGGGAAGGAAAAGTCTTCTCTGTGCAACTGTGAACCCTTCAAGGACATGGGTCTCTAGTCCTAGGGCCTCGCACAATGCCTACCGATGACTAAATGATAGTAGAAGGAATGAGTGGCTGAATCTGACCATAGCTTCCTTATGGTGATGCTTTCTTGTTTATATCTTTGGTCACAAAGAGTCATTTATATAGATGATAAATAAGACTGACTCCAAGTGGAGTTCAGCGATCCTCTCTATCTTCATGTCTATCAAGTATCTCCAGTAGATAAAGGGGGCAGGTAAGAAAATATTTTCATGTTTCAATCTCTCATTCTAATCTTCTAACTAAATCTTTACTAAGGGCCCTAAAAGTTCTCCTCAGTAAGCCCTCTATTTTCTGGAACAAAGAAAAAGACTTTTAGGTTAAATCTTTTAAACTCTACCGTCATCCTGCTTTCATTACATTACCCACTGCCCTTCCTGAGGTCATGATCATAGGGCATGATGGGACTTATGCCACCATGCAATTTAGAACAATCCAAGTGAAGGTAGTGTTCAGAGAGTTCTTAGGCATTCAGTCATTCACTAGTCACCATATCTAGGAAAAATGGGCCCATGAACTTACCCCCATGCTTCCAGACTTATCAAGAACTAAGCACACAATTCTTTCTCTGATCCTCAGCAATGAGAAGACAGGTGAAGGAGGTGATTCCACCATAGGTGTGGTGTTCTTTAAATCCTCAGATTTGCTGATCACCTCCCACGTGCTTCTGGAATGGCACATTTTGTTCTGTAGGCTTGGAGCTTCTCGGTTATGGTTGTTTTCATTACAGAATCCAACAACCTAAAAGGTTAATAAGATGGGGGAAAAGAAACTTGATATATGATGCATTTAAAAATTCAACTAAATATTTGATAAAAATAAAAAATCTACTCTGCAAATAAGCTATTTAATGAAATTTGATTCATTGAGGAATCATATAATACTAAGGTGGATTTTCAGTAGTAGTAATAACAAGTAACACTAATTGAGTGCTTCCTGTGTGCCAGTGTTCAAAGAACTCTATATTAATACATTTAATCCCTCAGTTCACCTGAATGGATATTTTATAAACGTGATAACACGTCCTTTGATTATAAATACACTGTATGAAGTAATAACTGGCATACTTACAGAAGTAATACCTTGCATAAACATTATGGATGTCTTTTCAATTTGATCTTTATCAGGGAAGAACTGGCAACCTTTTTCGTACAGCTTTGTTGTAGAATTAATTTTGCATCTATTATATACACAGCTGTTTCCTTGACACTTATAAACTCTATTCATACCAGTAATACCTGTGGAACACCTGAAAATAAGTGACAGTTAGTCTTTGATGCAACCTGACCATTAACATTTTTTTAAAAAATCTTAAGTGTTTCTATTCACAATGATCTTTATATCAAGGGTTTTATTCTTATCTGACAGCAAAGTTTAAGGATTTCTACCAGAGCAGTTCTCCAAGGAATTTCAGAGGGAAGTTTTAAATGGTATCCCTAGTATATGCAATGGCTGAGTTATCTGCTGAGATTAAAAAGTTGTTGCTGACCTGTTTACACTAATGGCTGTAGGCTCCCCTTTCCCAAACATCTCTTCTGGTAGCCTTGTGGAAGTAAATGTATTGCAGGCATCTGGGAAAGGCAACTTATGAAACTATTCTTGGTACCACCTTAGCTTAAAGTTCTTCACTGATTCTCTCCCCCTGCCCCCCAAAAAAACATATCTCCAAGGAATGGGATGTGGCATAACTACAGGTGTTTTGATTATTCAAGGAGCATTTTTATCCAAAGTGAAATGAGGCCTGAAGGAAAGACTGAGGTACAGCTTAGGACAGCCAAGAATGGTGGAGGCATTTTAGACATATGTTTCAGTGCATGGAATTGGCCACAGGTGGCAGTGATTACAACAAATACGGTGGCATGTGAATATATCCCATCTTTTTGATGTGTTTCCAGGTCATATTTAAGGGGAAATGACTAGCTTTCTTCAGTCATTTAAAGAGTCTCCTACATATAGGTATGCTTCTATTGCCCTGAAACTCAGTGAATATAATGTTATCTATATTAACAATCGCGATGAATTTTCTGCAGTATAAACTAGATATTTAGGGGAAATATGATGTAAATAAATGTAATGTCTAAAATGTGTGTCCTGAAGCTGGTGCTATGGGCTGATAAAAAGCCTTCATTGTAATCATATCTTAGAGTTTGTACATTTTTGATAAGTCTCCAGCCCCAGCACAGCCTCTAAGATTGATTAAACTGATGGCACACAATATTAGATAAATTTCCTCCAACCATTCTTCTCTCTTGACCTCAAACCAAGAGGATTGTCTGTTACTGACTGTGATGTTAGATTAGTATTTTTACAACGAATTTTATAAATCCCAGGAAATCCCTGTCTTGGCTCCTTGAAGCTGGTTGATTTTCCCCCCTCAGCCTGCAGTTACCACTATTTATTAACCTTTGTTTCATTCTTGTGTAATGTAAATAATTTTCACCTCCCAGCATATAGTACAACCCTTTACTCAGAGCACAACTTTCGTGTAAATGAGATCTGGTAGCCGTGGTGGAGAGGTATAAACATATGTCAGTTTGGCTTCCAAATGTTCTTGAAGTTATGTGTATTTTAAATGGGCAACCAGCTACTTTGAGAAACATTGTCTAAAACAAAAACAAAAACAAAACAGAAAAGCACTGTTTTGTGATATAGCATCTATTATCTGCATGGGGACCAAATGAACGATTGGCATTTCAAATAAATATAAATCAAACTAAGGAAAATAGAAAGTTACAGCCTGGAGTGACTGAAGAAAATAGAAATGGCCATGCCTTGTTGCTTCAATTCTTTTGGACGCAGCACTGTAGAAAGGCTCGTTGTCATTGTATTCATCAAACACTCCCCAGCGGAGATGGGCCCACTCGTGGACAAGCAGTCTGCCTGTGGGAAAGTATTTCAAATATATGATCAAGTGACAAAATTTTCTCTTCAAATGTTTTAAGAAATGCTTTTTTTAAAAGTAAAAATAATTCTATTTAGGTTTAAATAATTGCCAATATTTATGTTTTTGTTGGGGGGGAAAAGCATATAGCATATTGAACCATAATATGGTATATAATATATTTTTTTATTCTACAACATGTTAAATCAATGAAACATTTATTGTGTATGTATGTATATGCTATGGACAGAATAGACTGGATTTTACGTTTTGGTTCTTGGGGGTGGGGAACAAAAGTCTTCGATATTACAATGGTTTTTGGTTCTAAGAAGTTCACTCCTACTAATGATATAAACAGATATGTAAAATTTGTGGTACTAAAATTTCATGAGGGCACAATTAAATGTTAAAAGTGTCTATAAATGTTCCTTAGGGGATTGATAATGAAAAAAAGATTGAAAACACTGCTATAGATCATATATAATGATGGGGATATCTAAATGAAGTGATTATATGAAAATAATTATTATTAATTCTGTGTTCAACACTATAGTAGGTATTCGGAAATAAAAAGAGTAGGATATATGCCTTTCTAGGATAGACTTAGAGAAAGGAAGTCAGAATAAAATTTTTTTTCTAAGAATTTCAGGGTAAATGGAAGAATAAAGCTACATCCACAGCTTCAAATGCAGAAAGAAAAAAGTAGAAACTTTGTTTTATCGATATTAGGAAAAACTTCAAAGGAAATAGAAATGGAGAAGGGGAAGGTGGAAATATAGTCTGTTCTGCTACCATGTGTTTATCTAACTCAAACTCATGAGATCTGAAAATCAGAGGACAATGTCAGTATTATGCAAAAGTTGTGTTTCTGCTTTAAGTCCTTGCTACTCGAAATGTGTTCCTTGACCCAGGACTGTCAGCATCACCTGGGAGCCAACAAGAAAGACAGAATCTTGGGTCTACTCTAGACCTACTGAATCAGACTCTGATCCCTAAGTTATTCCTCTACACATTAAACTTAAAAAACACTGATTTAAGATTTCCTAGGCAAATGGAGTCAGACTAGTGATTGTGAAATTATATATAACCTTCTGTACAGAAGGTAAAAAACCTTCACATCAGTTAAATTCCTCATATCAGAAATTTGGTGAATTTTAAGAAAATTTAAAACTTCCTACACCTGTGGTCCACTCTCTTTTAAAAAAAATCTTCACTCAAGAATATATTCATTGATTTTAGAGAGAGAGGAAGGGAGAGAGAGAGGGAAACATCTACATGAAGGAGAAACATCCGTCGGTTGCCTCCCGTAGGGGCCCCAATTGGGGACTGAACCCACAACCTAGGTATGTGCCCTGACCGGAAATCAAACACACAAACCATTTGGTGAACAGTACACACTCCAGCCAACTGAGCCACCTGGCCAGGGCTACGTGTGTGTACTTTTAATGTCTACTATGATGGCAGTTCCAGCCAAAAGGAGCTACAGCCAGGTTGGGTCAAATGATCACTCCAGGTATGTATTATTGTTATTACAAGTTGCATATATTTTGAGGACTCTCTTCATCTGATTTTTCAAGAGCTGTGTTGTTTTTAAAACATCGTTTTTCAGAATGTGAGTTTTCCCCAAACGCATGTATGGCATTCTAGGAGAAACTCCCGTCTAGGAGCGTGGGGAGACGCCTGTGAGAAAGAGCAGGGCCTCAGCTGGGGTATTAACTCCAAACACTGGAGAAAATCCTCCTCGCCTAAGACAGGTGCAGGTGGGCATAAGTTTGGAAGCAGAGAAGAAAGTAGGGGTTCTAGTTTCTCAAGCAAGTCATCTGTTGATTGATAGGATTGAAAAAAGTGGCTAGAGAAAAATGGTACAGCTTCCTAGAAATGAGAAAGAGTGTGGGGAAGATGCAAGCACAGCATTGTGGATGAGTAGCGTTGAGGGCTTCACCAAGTTTGAAAAGCATGTTTCTGTAGCGATACCAATTAGTTTTGTAATTTTCTTTCGCAATCTTGGAAACATTAATAGGAGCAAAAGGAAGCCACCTGGAAATTAAATAGAGAGGATTTGGCAAGTTGAATGAAACATAAGGATAAGAGTGGTGAGGGAATTGAGCTATTTACATTTTGCTGGACATGCCAGGCAGGGAAAGAATTATAGCTGGAAGGGAGCAAAGATTAGAGGCGCCAAGGAGAATACACATGGTGGGACAAAAGTGTGGGGGAGAGTTAAGATTGAGATGGGGTGAGATGATGGAGCTTTCAGGACTGGGGTGGGAAACAGGCTCAGGTAATGATGAGAGCCAGGGCTAACTGAGTGACAGAAATAAGAGACATTAATGAATGTTCATTGAAGGGACAATGGAAGAAGGGGAGGTGATCTTGGGGTATGTGGATTCAGGAATGTTTTCCTGTGTAATGACATGTGAAATAATGTGCTTTAAGTTCATTTGAACAGTGATCGTAACTTTTAGACTGAACTAGATGAAATTGCCTTTTCTTTTTATAGGTAAAAATGGTCGCCAACAGACAAGCACATTTAGTTCAACCAAATAGGTCGAATGATAATATCAGCAACTACAGCTCATGAGTGTTTTCTCTTGGCCAGGAATTGTCATCTTGGCTCTTTTCAGCTTTTCACATATGTGCCTTCCATCAAGGTGGCATGTGATTGATTAATATCCAGCTGTGGAGAACTGGAAAATTAAGATTTGAAAAGTATGTTTTGTAAGAAAAAGATTTATTATTGTTGCCCTTTGTTCAAATTTCTGTAGACGCTCTATTGAGAACAGTTCCATGGATTACCTAATTTAATATTCACAACTATTCTATACGGAAGGAACTCCTCTGGTCACCATTTTACAGGAAATAGGCACAGAGAATCTAGCTCACTTGTCCAAGGTCACACAGAGCTGATAAGTACTGGAGTCAGGATTTGAACCTATAGACTTTGGCTCTAGTGTTTGTACACGTCACCTGGGTACACAGCTGCTTGTTGGAATTGTTGCAAAATATATGTTAACCTAAATTCTTACCTGCTGGCCCATATTCATTTTGTTTTTTTCCAAGTACAAAGTCAGGGGTGAAATGAATGTATTCTCCTTTCTCTTCACAGGCTGTGAACTGCTTGGTGTATGGTTCATCTCTCCCTGGTAGGGTGGGTGGTGCAACTAAAATATCAGCCTGAGAATGGTTAAAAAGATTATTAAAACATCAGGAATAGAAACGATAACATTTAGTCAGAAAACTGAAACAATCAATTTGCAGTTCAATGTAGGAGCACCAGAAAATATAATATTTTGAGAGAAGCTTTTTGACTCTTACATGTTTGTAGCTTTCATGTTTTGGTCTCTTGTATTGAGGGTTTTCCTTCCAAGTCTCAGGAATTAATATTGATACAGTTTTGAAAAAAAATCTTCTTTCTGTGGCTTCAAACAGGTAAGTAGAAGCTGCAGTCACCATGTCCTATTATAAAAGGAAAAAATGTGTGAGAATGGCCAAGTGACAGCGAACTGAATGGGCAGAGGTTCATCCCACACCAAGAGTGGATAGAAAAAGCATCTAAGTAGTGAGCACAACCTCTGCCTCAGAATTCCAACTCTGCCACCTCTCAGTCCAAAATTATAGCTTAACCTTGCTCATTTAAAGGTTTTGAGTATAATTCTTCATCAAAAGGTAAATGCTTCTATTTGGTGTTAAGAGAAATTACGTAATACAATAAGAAGCATAGACTTTGGAGTCATCTACTTGCTTCCAGTGCTGGCATTAGCACTTTCTAGCTGATAGATTTTGGCCCATTATATAATGCTCTGAAGCTTGGTTTCCTCATCTCTTAAATGGACTATTGCTACCTGTCTTTAAGGTTGGCATAAACACGAAATGAAGTATAAAGTGCTCTACACATAGTGATAAAACTGGGTGATATCATTGCTGTTCATAAATCCAGTAGACAACAGCCTACTATAAATGGAAAAATTTATAGTAGAGATACAGCTTTTTTATCACAAGTAGAACTTGTTGCTTTGTTCTCAAGGTGAAAATAATGTTATCCCATAGTGTTCAGTATCCTGAACCCCAAAATACAATGGTTAATAAGAGAAATAGCCCTGCCCTAGAGCTTGCTATCTAGTGGGGAAAATAGATGGATAAAATTCAACACCCATTTGTGATAAAATATACCTCAGTACAATAAAGGCCAAATACAACAAACCCACAGCTAAAATCATACTCAATGGTGGAAAAATGAAAGCTTTCCCTTTGAGATCAGGAACAAGACAAGGATTCCCACTCTTGTCACTTTTAGTCAACACAGTATTGGAAGCACTAGCCAGAGCAATTAGGCCAAAAAAGGAAATAAAGAGATCAGAATCAGAAAAGCAGATGTAACACTGTCACTATTGGAGATGGTATAATATTATATATGAAAACTCTAAAAAAACCACACACACACAAAAAACTGTTGGAACTCACAAATGAATTCAGTAAAGTTGCAGAATACAAAATCAATATAAAATATATATGTTGCATTCCTATACACTAATAAGGACCTATCAGAGAAATTAAAATAACAATCCCATTTACAATTGCACCTAAAAGAATAAAATGCCTAGGAATAATTTTAACCAATGAGGTGAAATTTCTGTACACTTAAAACTCTAAGACATTCATGAAAGAAACTGAAGAAGACAGAAATAAATGGAAAGATAGTCCACGCTCATGGATTAGAAGAACCAATCGTGTTAAAATGTACGTACTAGCCAAGGCAATCTACAGATTCGGTGCAATCCCTATCAAAATGCCACTTGTATTTTGCACAGAAATAGAACCACCAATCCTAAATGTGTATGAAACCACAAAAGATCCTGAGTAGCCAAAGCAATTTTGAGAAAGAACAAAGCTGGAGGCATCACAGTCCCTGATTTCAAACCATACTACACAGTAGTAGTAATCAAAAGAGTATGATATTGACATAGAAGCAGGCACACGGTTCAATGGGACAGAATCAGAAGTCCAGAAATAAACCTACACATATATTATCAATTAATTTATGACCAAGGAGCCAAGAATATACAGTTGAGTAAGGACGGTCTCTTCAATAAATGGTGTTGGGAAAACTAGACAGACCCATGCAAAAGAATGGTGGACCACTATCTTAACTATATACAAAAACCATAAAACTCCTAGAAGAAAACATAAGCTCCCTGACATTGGTCCTGGCAATGATTTTTTAAAAATTTGACACCAAAAGCAAAGGCAATAGCCAAAAAAAACAAACAAACAACAACAACAACAAGAACAAAAACCAATCTGATTAAAAAATGAGCAGAGGATCTGAAAAGACATTTGTCCAAAGAATACATACGAATGGCCAACAGGCACATAAAAAGTTACTAAACAACACTAATCAACAGGAAAATGCAAAGCAGGACCAGGAAGAGATATCACCTCACACTTGTTAAGATGACTATTATAAAAAAAGATAAGAAATAATAAGTGTTGGCAAAGATGTGAAAAAAAGGGGACCCTTGTGCACTGTTGGTGGGAATGTAAGTTGGTTGCAGCTACTATGAAAAGCAGTATGGAGGTTTCTGAAAAAACTGAAAAATAAAACTAACATTTGATACAGCAATTCCACTGCTGAGTATTTATTCAAAGGAAATGAAAACATTAATTCAGAAGGACATGTGTACCCCATGTTCATTGCAGCATTATTTACAGTGGCCAAGACATAAAAGCAACCTAAGTGTCTATAGATGGATGAATAGGTAAAGAAGCTGTGGTATATATAAACACTGGAATATTATTAAGCCACAAAAAAAGGGAAATCCTGCCATTTCCAACAACATGGATGGACCTAGAAGGCATTATACCAAGTAAAGTAAGTCAGACAGAAAAGGACAGATACTGTACAATATCACTTATATATGGAATCAAAAAAGAAAGAAAACAACAACAAAAACTGAGCTCGTAGATACAGAGAACAAGTTGGTGGTTGCCAGAGGCTTTAGGGTTGGGGGAATTGGCTAAATGGGTGAAAGGAGTCAAAAGTTACAAACTTCTAGTTATAAGATAAATAAGTCATGGTGAAGTAACGTACAGCAAAGTGACTATAGTTAATAATACTGTATCGTATGTTAGAAAGTTGCTAAAACTTTCTATACTAGGGTGGCTAATAATTTGTTCCTGCAGGCTTTTCAAGCAGAATTCCTATAATAATCATTCTGAATTGTTTATCTGAATTCCTATAATATTCTAGTTGGATCAAAGAAGATTAAGATATCAGTATTTCCAAAAATTAGTACTCTCAAACTAAAAAGATGTGAATACAGGAATAAGGAAAGTTGACACTTGACATCTCAGGTCATAAATTATGAATTGGTTCATCATAAATTTTGTTGTGATCAGATATTATCCCATGAGTAAAGCTATGTCCATTTATTGGTTTACCAGTTACAAAAAAGAGTGATTTTTGTCATCTTACACAAGCCAGAACTCAAACTCGGGTCTGTAAGTAAATCTTCAAAGCCCATGTACTGGATCTCCACTCTGATTGTGCTACTTAGGAAACCCTTGAAAAATCATTTAATTTCTCCAAATACCAGTTTTCTGTTCTGTATAATGTGGATGATAGTGTTTTACATGGTTGTCTGCTATTCTACGTGCAAGGACTTTGTAGTGGGTTGAGAGAATGTCATAAAACATGGTGTAATCTAGGAATGTCTACTAACAATTGAATTTTTAGTAACACTTTCAGTAGAGAACTATTTTAGCATATTTTTTACCCTTACAAATAATTCTAAATACTGATTTCTGAGGTTCCAAAGTATTAGAAACTGATCGACTGTCCCTGGACACTAAGAAGTAATCATTCAGAATCAGCTAGTTTAGCTGCTATTCAAGCCTGTGTTCTTTAGTTCAGGAATCTTTATCTCCCACTGGCATTCAAAAGGCGTTAGTAAGTGAACATCACTAGGCCGCAAGAGTTTATACAGAATGAGTGATAAATGGCAGCCACAGAATCCCCTGCTTACAATTCAGGTCATGCTTATCAGCATCTGCTGGATAACAGCACCCATGAAGGCTGAAACAGTGAGTGTAAGGACACAGTAGTGGAAGACTTGAATATAAGGAATTAGTAGTTGTTGATGTCGGGGCAGTGGAAACACATTTACATGGCTGTAACGCCTGTCCCCCCCCCCTTTTTTTTATTTATTTAAATATATCTTTATTGATTTCAGAGAGAGGACTGGAGAGGGAGAGAGAGAGAGAAACATCAATGATGAGAGAGTCATTGATCGGCTGCCTCCTGCACGCCCCCTACTGGGGACAGAGCCCGCAACTCTGACTGGGACTCAAACTGTGATCTCCTGGATCCTAGGTCCATGCTCAGCCGCTGAGCCACACCCAGCAGGGCAACCAGTCCCATTATTACAAGGACTGTTGCAGTTGAAAGAACTTTTAGGAATACAGTTCTTGGTTCGGTTCTGGAGTCTTTCCCTTTATTGTGCCCACTACCCAATGAACTTATTTGTTTTCCTGTCTTTAAATTTCATCTACACACTGATAACTCCCCTATTTTTATCTACACCCAGGTTTTCCTTCTGAACTCTAATTCCTATCCCATCTACGGGGGTATCTAATAAGCATGTCAAATTCAAAAAGTCCCCAACTAACTCCTGATAGCTCAGCTGATAATCACTGAAATCTGCCCCTTTCCTGTTGATAATTCCATCTTTCCAAAGTGTATAGGCCAAAGCCCTTGAAGTTGTCTTTGACTCCTTCCTTTCCCTTCTACTTTCCCCGACTCCACATACATCTAAACCATCAACAAATTTGTCTACTATACCTTCAGAATATGCTCAGAATCATACTACATCAAAGATCTCTACCAGAATATCCCTGTTCCTAGTCACTATCACTTCTCACTTACAACAGCTTCCTACCTGGTGTCCCTCTACACCTCTGTGCTGTGCAGAGCTTATACAGGACTAGTGACAAGGGGAAGCCCTCTACCGAGTTTCCTCACCACTAGTAAGTGTGATTCTAGAACACACACAAGAGAGCACACCTCTCCTCTGCTCAGAATCCTTCCAGATTCCTGCCTAAATCTCTCCACAGGTCTGGGCCCTGCTACCTCTCCAACTTCAGCTCTCCTACCCTTCTTCCTCCTTATTTATAGTTGTTTCCTTGGTCCCAACAAGCATGCAGTCACCTCCATGCTGCTTCTCCCTCTATTCCCTACCTCAGATTTTCAATGGGCTTTTCCCTCACTCATCTCAGGTTCCTGCTTAGAGGTCACATCAATGGTGAGGCTTTCCCTGACCACCCTACATGAAAAAGTAACCCACATTCTCCCCTATCCCAGCCCCACCAACACTGCTTACCCCTCTTTGCTGATTTGTTTGACTCCATAGCAACTTACTACCTGCTATACATTTACTTATTTTAATTATCTGTGTCTGAAAAGAATGTACATTGCTTTAGGGAAGGGGCTCTCTCATTCACTATTGTCCTGCTATAAGCATTCAATAATTGTTTAAAGAACAGACAAGTTTAAGCCCTTGCTGGGTAGCTTAGTTGGTCAGAGCATCATCCAGATACGCCAAGGTTGTGGGTTCGATCCTCAGTCAGGGCACATACAAGAATCAAACAGTGCATGCATAAATAAGTGGAACAACAGATCAATGTTTCTCTCCCTCTCTAATCAATAAATTAAAAAACAGCAACAACAGAACAGACAAGTCCAACTGCTCATTTACAGATGAAGAAACTGAGGATCAAGGAGGCCCTCTGCCTTGTCTTTGGTCTTATGTTGACACAGGGGAGTACCCCGTCTACAGACTTCAGGCCCCACCGTCTATTCCAGCATTGTCCTCACCGCACCATGTTTTTAAACTTCCTGGAGCATTCAGAAGTTTCCATCATAATTACTAACTATTCACTTTTCCCCCTTCTCTATTATTTAAACAGAAGAAAATCTCATTTCTTTCTTACCTTGATTTGTTCAATCAGTGTTGCATGTTCTGGCACCCCAGGGTCGATAGCAATGATAATGCCTTCATAGCCATTGTTATTCAGCCGAACAAAGGAAGTATTGGACCCCTGCAGCAGGTATAGGACTAGGAGGAAGGCAAGGCTTCTGAATAATACCATTGTTCCTCTGGCCCAGAGGCTTTGCTATCACCTCTCTCTCCACATATGTATATACTCCTAGTCCTTACAGGTGTGGCTGCTTTAGTGCTGTAGACTGTGTAAAGGTCAGTGTTACATATGTGATAAAATATCTGAGCTTACACAATCTTTTTATTGTATGTTACTGTAAAAGTCATCAGAAAAATAGAAGTAATCATATCTTTTTATAAAATACATTCCACATTTTTAACTAGGAAAGCTTTTTCTATATTTTTCTAATTTTGCTTAAATTTCTAAATATGGACATATACTTTGTATTTCCTGTGGAGTGCAATGTGAAAATTGATAAAATTTCATAATGAAGCAATAATGCTAATGCTGTTTTTCAGTTTTACAAAGCAATTTAATTATCATTTAGATTATTTACCAAGGGTATAAATAATGGAAGAGAATGTAAGATTATTAAATGTAAATAATACCAAATTAGGTAAGGCTCCTTTGAAATATAAATTTAAAACTTTAAATGCTTTGATAAATTAAGGAAGATTTGACAAAGTTTTAGAGTAAAGTTTTAAAAACCCCTGCCCAGTAAAGAATGAACAGAATTTGCTTGCATACAGGCATATCAAAAAAGTCTGGTAGAATGTTAACTATAATTTTTAAAAAAAGAGTCTAGTAGTGTGCTGGTTTCTATTTTAGCAGAGAGAACAATATTAATAGTTAATATTTATTTGGTGTTGACCGGGGCAGAGATTCTCTCATTTAGCCCTCACCACAACTCTCTAAGGTTAAGCCTGGATATTATCTTCATTAAGTATGGGGAACCGAGGCACACAGAGTTCAGTAACTTGCCAAGATCATATAGCTCGTAAATGGCAGAGTCGGGGTATGTACGCAACATTCCTACCCCAGAGTCGATGGATTTACTTACTTTACAATAAGGCAATGTTGTTTTATAAGGCAGATAATATAATAAGTTTTTGGGTTTTTTTTAAAAAAGAGGAGGCAGGGGGTCAGTTTAGGAGTTGTGATGGTGAATTAAGAATGTCTAGTCCTAAAGCAAAAGTAGCCAGGACTCATCAGAAACCCAAAAGAGAACTGAAAATAGAATAGCAGAGAAATGTATTTAAATTAAAAATTCAGGTAGGAGGAGACTTGTGTTGCATTCTGAAGAAGCAACATCCCCAAGATAGAGGCTTACTCATATATGCCCAAACTTTGTCCTTTTAGACAGCATCCCACACCCTCCTTCCATTCCCTCAGGGATATTATGGGATAATTGTACATTCATAGAATTACTATATTGTACAAGATATAGGATGGAGCTGTTGGCACTGGCAACCCCAGGGAGGATTTGGATTAGTATTATTGAGTCAGGAATATGGTCTATGATTTCATTGAAGGAATGATATCTGGAATATTTTCATTTAAAAAAAAGAAAAGAGCTTCATTTTGAATTGCAAAGCAGAGCTACTCATCCTTATATAATTTTATGAAGGCAACACTGAATTTCTGTTACAAGTTATTTACTATTAATGCAAAACCTGTTCTAGATTCCTTGTGTTAAGCACACATCTGTAAGGTTACTCCTATCCTGCCTGGAGAGGTAGATCTGGAAACCAGTTTCTCTTTCCCTACCTCTAGTGACTAGTGTCCAATTTATGTGAGGTTGTGATTCCCTCTGTACCTACTCAGGTAAGTATCTGCTTTGCAGACCATGTTTTGGGTGTGGTAGAGGGATTATCTTTCCGAGTTCTAGACTTCTCAATTGTGGCATCAGGTCTAGTCATCTTTATTAGCCCAACTTCACCATTGACATAGACAATATTTTGATGATCTGTTGGACTCCTCTATTTCCAAATTAGTTCCAAACACTGAAAGGGAAATGGTTTTTCGTTTATTTGTTTGTTTTGTCACTTTAAAGCTCAATACATTAAGTAGGAAACAATGTAAAAATCACATATTTTTGTATGTTCTTGGGACATCCCACTATTACGGGGTTCTTATTGGCACTCTTTCTTACTTAGTGTCCCTTCCTTCCCTCATTCTCTGTTTCCCACCCTTTGCTTCCAGGATTGTTAAATTCCTGGAACTCCAAACACTCTCTTTATTCTACAAAGTAGTACTTCAGCTCTCTCCTGCTTCTCCCAAACTTGCACATTTAAACCCATTAAGGAGAGGGATTTATGATTAGAAAGAGCTATATAGTATTACATAAACAAAAGGAAATCTACCTTTTTATAGGTTTTCCACATGGGGATGGGCAGTTGGAGATGATTTGATTTTCTCTCAGTTAGAGGAACTGTGCCCTGCTCAAACTCTATTCAGTATTAACCCGATGGTATTAAAGCCTCAATTTTCAAGGATTTTTCATCTCGTAGCGAGGCAATTTGACAGTCTTCTTACAGATTTCTTAGCCAACAGTTCTTGCGGCTCCGATTCATCTTGCACGTCACCAAATTATCTTATGTACAAAATCACATTTTCTTTCCCTTCAAGAGATTTAGATTGGCACAATCTTTACTTGCTATTCAGAATATATCGCGATCTGGTCAGCTTATAGTTTCCAGTTTTATCTCCCGGCACTACCTGTCATAAATCTTCCCCTCTAATCAATGTGGTCTACTAATATTTTGTGAAAAAAATTTTTTTCCTTCTACTATTATGCCCTTGACCTTACTCATTTTTCGAATCCCTGCATATTCTTCAATATCTAGCTTAAATTCTACTTCCTTATGAAGGTTTCCCTGATCAATCCAGCCTGTCCTTTCTTTTGAGAAAGAAGGACAGAGCTGGAAGTATCATGCTCCCTGCTTTCAAACCATATGAAAGCTATGGTAATCAAAACAGTACTGTACTGGCACAAAAACAGACACCTAGACCACTGGGACAGAGTTGTGAGCCCAGAAATAAACCCACACATACAGGAGCTATTAACTTACAACAAAGCAGTCAAGAACAAACCGTGGGACAGGGCAATTTCTTCAGTTAACTGTTGGGTAAAAGGGACAGCCATGTGCAACGGAATGAAACTGGACCTGTGCCCGTTTCCTGCAGTGCCATCATAATGCATCAGCTGTCCCCTCTCTTTTCTGAGTCTCCCTCTCTATTGTCATCTTTCTCCAATCCTTTTTCATCTTAAAAAAGAGAATATAGTAACTTGGATATAGTGTTTTGTTGCGGAACCTGGAGACATTCACCTTACAGAAAGACCAAGCGGTGCTCGGAGGCTGGGAGTTCAGCAGGTTTATTTTACTCCTGCGGGCCCAGAGGAGTCCAGCTCCAAAGTCTGAACCCCTTCTACAGGGAAGCTGACAGTTTTTAAAGGGTCAGAGTTTAAAATAGAACAAAGAGGCTTTCTAAACTCGGTCATAACAGACTAGTCTTATCTCTACTCGGACACTCCTAGTGGAACAGGCCTGGCGACAGGGGGTGGGGGTCGGTGCACAGGGAGCCACAGGACGAGGGCGGGCAGGAGGCCAGAGGGATTCAAAGCTTAAATCACCCTGGCGCCAGCTAAAGGGCGGCGGGAGGGAGGAGGGGAGGGAGGATGGGCCTGCACTCTCCCGCGCTTTAAACCGAGGCCAGCAGCCAGGCGCTTCTCCGAAACAAAGCGAAGGGAGGGCTGTGGTTTTGTTCAGCATCAGCTTCGCGCAGCGGGAGGCGTGAGCGCTGAAACTTACTTGGCCTCTTTGTGATATTTGATGTTAATCATTCCCCCTTTTTTGAAACCGCCTCTTCTTTTGGTTTACACGACACAGTCCGGATTACCGTAGTGGATCCCTGGCTGCTCCTTCGCAGTCTAGTCCACCGTTCCTCTTTCCTTACCTGCCAGTTGGGGGCTGCCTTTTCTCCAGGGCTCACTTCCGGGCCCCCTCTCCCCATCTGTGCTCCAGTGGGCGCGCCCACTCCCAGAGGCTTCAGCTGCACTCTGCACCCACGAGGACCAGGTTCGCACCCAGCCCGGCTCCTCAGCAGCAGCCCTCTGGGCAAGAAGAAGGGGAATAATATTTTCAAAGTGTTGAAAGGAAAAAGTTTAATTTAATGTTTCTAATTATCATTTAAATAGTAGAGTGAAGTAAAAATTTCAGAAATTCTAGGCCTCGGATCACCCAATATACTCTCTAAAAGCACTCCTGGAGGAAATTCTCCAGCAAGAAGCTAAAAAAAAAAAATCAAAAAATCAATAAGATAGGAGAAAGAAACAATTTAGTAAAATTTCTTGTCTAAATAAGCAATGAATAAATACAACAAAAATTTATTAATTCACAACTTAAGCTCTAGAAAATACCAATACCAACCTAAGGGAGGTTGGCGTTAGAATCCAGTTAGAGACAAGAGCTTGCTAAGGCGTTTCTGTTGGAAGTGAAGGGGATCAGGGGAATATGGATATTGATAAGCGTTTGAATTCTGTTACTATAGGAAATAAATAAGTAAATAATATACATAAGAATTGGTCTTAATAAGTTGAGATAATGACTAGAAGACAAAAATCATAATGTGTAATTTTCAAATCAGCATAAAATTTAACCTATTCAATGGAAGTCAGGAAAAGAGGGAAACATAGAAACAAAAGGACATATATGAAATGGAAAAAGATGGCAATTGATTTCTAACAAATCATTCAGCCTGTGTGAGTTGGTTAAACTCTTTTGTAAGACAGATACTCTCAGTTTAGATTTTGAAAAGATGCAATAATATGCTGCTCATAGAGGCACATTAAAATGGTAATGTTATAACAATTCCTAAATTATATATGTGTAAGAGAGAATATAAGAAAGGCAGGGTACTTGTAACAGTAATAAAAAAGTAAAAATCAGTTGGCCCTGAAAGATTTTATTTTACCTCATTATAACTTTATACAATAACTCACTAGCTCAAAGTCTGCAATCTCTGTGTTTACAGAACTCCTTGTCTCCATCCTGATTTCTCTCAATATATTCTATAGCACAAAATTGTCCTGCTGAAGCTTTTGTACTATCACGCCCCGACTGCCTACAGGATAAAGTCTCCACTCCCTC